CTTCCCTAATTGCTGCCATTTTATCAAGTTATTTACGCATGTTACGGTCATTGATGTTGTCAAATCTCAAAAGGAAACGGAACCTTTGTTCACTCATAGTAAGATAACATGATTCAATGCGATTTCCCTTGGAGTTATCCCATAGTAAATGAATATTGCATATCTGTCCCTTGTAAATTCTTGACGTGTTTTCTCTATATAAATATTAGTGCACGCTGTAATTGTTTTGAGAATATTGTCGTCTAAAAAGAGTTCTAAAGCTGATACTTCTGTTTTCAATTCTCGTGCTTTACCTTTGGGTCCTGGTAAATGAATAATAATGTTATGGGACCTTGTTTTCACATTTCTTGGAGGATTCGCTTTTCTCCATTTCGTTATTTTGTCCTTCCCAATGTAGAAACTGGAAGAATCTAAAGGCACGTCTTCGTCACTTTCAAATTCTTCACTTTCCACAACCTCTTGTTCCGATTCTGTATTATGCTCACTCTCTGTCAGTATATTTTCTTCCTCTTTGTCACTTTTATCTTCATCCTTAGAGCTTTCACTCAGATCACTTTCATCACTTAGTTCATGGTACCACTTCAGCCATACATTGGGATCATTACTGGTCTCTACTTTTTTTTTTCTGTTCAGACATGGCCTTGCTACTACTTCCAAATACCTAAAGCAAAAATACCTTAGCATAGGGAGAAAAAATATTAAAAATTAAATTACCTTTGCCACAGTACAACAACACCTTAATAATAATTTAACAAAGTAGAAGGTCGCGCGGGGGACACTTGTCAACCACTCAGATTTGGTCAGCGATATCTCCACTAAACACGCACAAGCCGTACTAAATATTTGACGGCACAGACATCTATCATAACATGAAAGATACTCGGAGCGATGTTGCCAAGTGAGCTGAAACATTTAAATAGTGGTATATTAAATGAAAGTGGGTGACGATTCTCACCCGCGCGACTGACCTAGGCTTAAATATTTCCGAAAAACCCACCGCAGAGGTAGCATTGAGATTGAAAATTAAATCTAAGACCGTATTATTTATTTCTTTTGCTTCTTTTGATTCTCTAGATCTTGAACTACAGAACGAAGCAGTCTCCTTTTTATAGTGACTTTGGCAAGTTGGATGAATAAAAGCTGACGTCATAGTCTCAAATGTTTTGTATTTATTGTCGATTCTTTTCTTACTAGACACCATTAAACGGTCCAAAGCTGCTTTTTTTATTTCACAGATTGGCTTATCGCCTGCCTTATTGCGGATTATACAAACAGATTCATCTATACTGATAATCTGAAAAGACAAAATCAAATTAATAATGCCTTTACAGTTTTATCATAAGTATAACTAAATTTGTTTGTGCAAAATAAACGAAACATAATTTTTAATCTTGTTACGGTAAATATACTACACTGGTCTGCGGTTTAATTCTTTTTGTCTGGGGTCAAAGTTTTTGCAACCGTTTTTGGGCAAATTCTATGTGCTGATGTCAAAAATATAGCGCATTGTTCGATATCGGTTAGTAAATGTTCCATATTATCATAACTTTCAGTCATTTGTACTGAATGACCCACTTGAACAGAAGAAACTCTGTTACCCTTAAACAAGAAGACTGCCTTCAACCTTTTGTTAGATGTATCGATGAACAATCTCCATTCGCTACAATCGATGTTAAACCTAAAGCCTCAATGAGACCCTTGATAATTTTGCAGTAAAGTAATGCTGTGTCTTCATCTTTTTAAAAAAAGTTCGAAACTCTTCTTCTCGAACACGATACCAGTAGAATGTTGTTCCCGGATCTAGTAAATTATTTTCACGAAGGCGAGATCCTAGCAATTGTTCAGACTCCTTAGACTGACATAAGTCTCTCGTCAGATTATTTAGGGCCGTTTACATAAAAGTAAAACTGAACCGCTGGTTTCCCAACCGAAAGTTGAAATTCAACTGGCGGTTGAAGAGAATTGTGTTTACGAACCTACTTTCAGGTAGCGGTTTGTCAACCGACGATTCAGTTTCAATTTTTTCAGTTGGCAGTTCTGTCACCTTATTTTGATGACATGACAATGACATCTGGACAAATGTTGTACGGTCCACAAAACACAGAACGGCAAATGAGCTGACAGCACTGCCAGTGTTGACAGTTCACTGTGTACGGCTCCCCGTCAATGTTTGAGCGCCCGTGCTTTGTTTAAATCCATGTTTCCTCATAATTACCTAAAAATGAATGCTTAACCAACCAAAAGAGTGAAGTTTTCCGAGGCAAATTGCCATAGTTTGGTAGATATTCTTTTGAAATACAAAAATATTGTTGAGCGCAAGAGAACAGACGCCGTAACGTGGAAACAAGAGGTGAAGTTTTTAATTTTTATTGAATACAAAAAGTACAATGTTAGTATAATTTCTTAGGCAGCAGCTTGGGAGAAAATTGCAGAACTATACAACTCTGCCATAACCGAGTCACGAATAGCTGATCAACTCAGGTGTAAATTCGATGATTTAAAAAAAGAAGTACGCAAGTATGAAGCTCACAGGAGGCAAAATTTGTTGAGGACTGGTGATGGTGCTGATAGGATAAATATAAAGAAACCAGTAATTATACTTTACGTTAGAATTAAAAGTATTATTGGCTTATCAGTGCATGGATTGCAGCCATCTGTAGGTATCAGCGATGATGCGTCCTTCATTTGAAAATAAAGAAGGTACGATGGATATTATGTAATATTACAGTGAACACCCACAGTTATTTATCTAAGCTTGAAAATACTTTAATTATATATGTTTTTCAGAAGTGTCATCTGTTTGTATGGAGGAGAAAAATAAAGATACAGAAAATCTACATGAAGGCGATGTTCATCTTGCATCAATGTCTATAGTGTTAAATAAAGGTGATAATTTTGGCAAAATTTAAAACAAGTGCATTTGTACAATTTTCACAATTTCAGATTCTGAAAGCAACGCCAAAGTTTCAGAACACACATGTGAGTTGCGAACACCGACTATACCAGTACCACAGCAATCCCCTCTGGTAGTTAAAGTGATAAATGATAGGTGCTTAATATGTACTCAGTGCAATGTAATGTATTTATTTTAGATTGGTCTGATTACACAGTACCCACCAAGACATCTACAAACAAGTAAACACAGAGTCCTTCAAGGAAAAAGAAAAAGGATTGAAGAACAGTCCTCGAAAGAGGGCCTAACATCTCTAAAAAGGAAGTTGTTAGAAGAAGAAGCTGCAAGAAACAAAGAACACCACGAACAAAAAATTAAAATTGAGCCGGAACTACACGAGTTGAAAGCTAAAAACTTGCAGCTCCAAAATAAAAAACTAGAAAATGAAATTTTACTCAGAGAGGAACAAGTTGATGTATAATCAATAAAATATTAATGAAACTTATAAACTTGGTTTTCTGATGTAGGATAGAAAATAAATTTATAATGAAAAATACAAATCTCATGTTTCATTGAATGAATTTGCTAAACTTCATTAGAAAAAGATAGAAGTACCTGCTAAAGTTAAACTTTGAAGAAATCATTAGACCGTTGCAAATACATTTACAAATATATTTCAATAAATTATCATGCAAAATAGTTTTGTGATTTTCTTCTAATAGATTCATAAAGTATATAAGAAATTCTACTCGAAAGTCATGTTCCAACCTATGAACATCAATTCCATCCACATTTTCTTCTGCCCCCCATTCTCTATTCTGATCATCATCTTGGAGAGGTTCTGGCTCGTTCATATTAACTGTTATATTATGAAGAACTATACATGCTACAATAAGAGTCTTTGCTGTCCCCAGAGATAATCTTATACCAAGCGAAAGAACTGGAAATCTTCTTTTTAAAACACCAAACAATCTTTCAATTGGATTTCGACTCCTCATTAAATACTTGTTCCACTTCAGTTGTTAGATTAACAATAGGTGTTATTAAGTATTTTCTTAATGCATATCCTGAATCTCCCAGCACTACAGACTTCCCAGATCTATTATTTTCAAACTGTGGCTTTATTGAGCTATTGTTCAGTATTGTTTGATTATGCATTGAACCAGGCCATCGAGCAACAATATTGTTTATCAATAAATTTGGATCAACTACTACTTGTACATTTATAGAAAAATATCCTTTTCTCGTTCTAGAATACTCGGCATTAGCTCCAGCTAAAAGTTAATATTACATATTTTAATATTAAGTCTTTCTAATTTGCTTAAATTAAGTAAATGAATAACAACAAATTCAAAGATTAAGTACCTGGGGAAATTATTTTAACATGAGTGCAATCGATGGCTCCTATTACACGAGGAAACTTTGCAATAGTATAAAATTTCCTTTTTACTTCATCAATTTATTCTTGTGTGTTTTGTATATGGATGTATTCTGATGCTAAAGATGCAAATATACCACTAACTCGTTTTACAATTCTACATGCTGTAGACTTATGGATTCCAGTGAAATCACCAACGGTTTGCAACATACATCCTGTAGCACAAAAGCGAAGCATAAGGAGAATTTGCTGCAATGCTGTTACTGCATAGTTCCTAGGATAAGCTGTTGAGGATAGGTAAGCAGAGCAATTCAACTCGCAGTGGTCTTCGGTTCAGAACAGTTTATTGATTACATGTACATGGATGGGTAGATAAGCGACAGGTGTAGATCGGGCTTCCGCGTTCCGCGATCCGCGCGCGTGTGCTGGCTGCTGTTGTACTTCGAGTGCTTCCCACGACTGACCAGGGTTACCAGATTGGGGGATTTTCCCCCAAATTTGGGGTATTTTTCATTGCTTGGGGGAATTTTTGGGGGTATACAATGCGTGTGGGATTTTTTGGGGGAAAATTATTCCGTTTTGGGGTTTTTTTGGGGTGCGATTTTAAGAAGACATTCTGTCGTCCGACCAATTTTCAAGTTTCAATTGAATTATTGGAATTCGAGAACAACTTTGAATAAATATAAATTCATTTACAGATAATCCTGCCATCTTTCAACAACTATTAAAATTATTCTGAAGCACCTACATTACAGTTTCCTTCAATAGCGGCAAAATATTATTTTGTTTTTGTGCGTTAGATGGCGCGATTAAATAAGTGTTTCTCATCTATGTGAAACCCAGAGAATCGTGTAACTTTATTTCCTTTCCTATCATTAACTTTATAGGCTATATTTCTTTTACTTTGGAGTGTTCAATACGCACGGTTTATCCAAATTAGTGTTGTACGTGTCAATCTAAATATGCCTAAAGAAAAGGAGTCGTTATATACCCGAAAATACCGAGTTGCTTGGGAATCCGATGTTGAACTTAAAGGTAATCTATTGAAATTTTGATGGTGTGGGTTATTAATTATAATTATTCATTCCATATAGGATGGATTGGTCCTGTATTAGCAGATGAGACAAAGTCGCTTTGTAAGATATGTAAATGTACTTTAGCTGCACATAAAAAAGACTTACTGCTTCACGGTAAAAGTAAGAAACATCAAGAGGCGGAGAAAAGATCTTTGGCTGGCCCGAGTAAAAAAATTACTGAGTTTATGAAAAAAGGTTTGACCGCCAGCAGGAAAATAGCAGAATTAAAAATTGCTGCATTCATATGTGAGCACTGCTCACTTGCAACAATTGATCATCTTGGATCACTTTTAAAAAATTTAGATAAATCATCTGAAATATTAAATGACGTTAAATTACACAGAACTAAATGTACATCTTTAATATTGAATGTGTTGGCTCCTTCAATACTAAATGACTTACTTTTGGATGTTGCAGATAGTAAATATTCATTGATTATAGATGAGAGCACTGCAGTCGATTCCACAAAAATGCTATGCGTTATGATAAAATATTTTAGTAAAAAGCAAACTAAGATTGTTACGACTTTCTACAAACTTATCGAAATTGAAAAGGGAGATGCCATAACTATCTCGGCTGGAGCTAGACGGTTTAAAATTAGGGAATCTAATAGGAATCGGTGTTGATGGAGCCAATGTTATGGTTGGAGCGCATAATTCAGTAGCTTCTTTTTTGAAAGCAAAGAATAATGAACTTGTTATTATTAAGTGCGTCTGTCATTCTCTGCATTTGGCAGCAGAGTATGCATTTAAACTTCTACCTCGTCATTTGGACTTTATAATCAAGGAATGCCACAATTGGTTCTCTTGTAGTACAAAAAGGCAAATAGCATACAAACAAATATTTGAAACACTGACGGATCAAAAACCACTAAAAATTGACCAACTATCAGGAACCAGATGGCTAGCCAGATACAATGCGGTAGTTAAAATTCTAGAACAATGGGATGCATTAAAAATACACTTTGGTATAGTAAAAGATAATGAAAGGTGTTATATGGCTGAACAGCTGTTTCAAATGTTATCGGACCAAACTAATGTATTATATTTCACCTTTTTGAGTTGGACATTGAAAGAAATAATTAGAGTTAATAAACTGTTTCAGTCAGAGTGTGCAGATCCACTGAAATTAATGGAAGATTTGAATTTATTACTTTTCAATAACCTAAGTATTTTAGTACCACCTATGAGACTTCAAAAAATTTCAAAAAATAACGTCGTTGATTTCAAATTTGAAGATTACATTATGGATATAGAATTGATAAATTTAGGATATTCGTTCAATTCAAAAGCGTCATCCTTAGCAATTAAACAAGATGAACTACTAATGGTGCGAACTAGATGTAAAGATTTTTTAGTGGAATTATGTCGACAAATTCAAATGAGAATCCCTGAAAGTATGAATATTTTGGAGAAAATAAATTCATTTAACCCCGAATTAGCTACATCCAAGATACGTCAACCTGAAATAACTAATATTGCTTTATCTTTCTCAACAATATGTCCTGACCTTGATAGTACAATTGCAGAATGGAAATCACTTCCTCGAATAAATTGGATAAACCTGCATGATACAGAAAAGTTTTGGGTTGAGGTGGCAAATAACGTCGATGCAGCAGGGGAACCTAGATATAAAAATATTTCATCATTAGCTCTTGCGTTACTTAGCCTTCCATTTTCTAATGCTTCAGTTGAGAGAGCTTTTTCCATTATAAATGTGGTAAAAAACAAACTTAGAAATCGCTTGGCGATTCATAGTACAGATGCTATCATGAGAGTTCGATGGTATCTGTGCAATTTAAAAAATGGTTGTACAGATTTTCAACCAACTGAAAATATGTTGCAATATTTCAATTCTGAAAGAATGTATGATTGCAAAAAGGAGGAGGAAGAAGTTTTAAATGCATTCTCGGAGCTGTAGCATACTACTCGTATATTATGATAGTAAAAAATATATATTTATGTTACTTGTTATTAGTTATTAGTGTTATTACCATAAATACCATACTCATAAGACAATCTTAGCCAACCTGCAAAGTATAATAATAATAATAAATATCTTTGAAAGTTTTGGGAGATTTTTTTTAAAGATGTGCTTTTTGGGGGAATTTGTTATTTAGGCTGGGGGACTTATAGAAATAGGTCTGGCAACCCTGCGACTGACTCTTCACGACTGACTTCATTCTGTGGTGCGGCGCGCGGGGACAGGACGGCGGTTACAAGCTTCTAGGTTAGGCAACGTGTCTGGTCGTCTCGCCAGTAGCGGCGCGGCGGGGTGACGCTAGTACGCGTTCCAACACTTCCCCTCGAGACGTAGCAGATACATACAGGTTCTGGTCCGTCGTCTGTAATCCCAAAAGTTCCATGCACTTCCGATGTTTTGCCCTCGACAACCCCTTCGTCAATACGTCTGCGGCCATTTCAGAAGATGGAGTATGCTTCAACTTAAACTTCTTCTGTTCCAAGGCCTCCCGCACAAAATGGTAACGTATGTCGATGTGCTTACTTCTGGAATGATATCTTGGGTTCTCGGCCAATTTTATAGCACTCATATTGTCGCTATATAGGGTTACGTTAGCGAGTCTTTCGAACCCAAGTTCGGTCATGAACTTGCCCAAGTAGATTGCTTCCTTGGCAGCTTCGGTGGTACCCATATATTCCGCCTCGGTGGTAGACAATGCCACTGTGGCTTGCTTCTTCGATTCCCACGATACGGGTCCGCCTGATAGGATGAATGAGAATCCGGTATACGAATGCCTATCGTCAGGGCAGTTTGCCCAATCAGCATCAACGAATCCTCTCAGATTCATGTCTTCTCGTTGGTATACTATCGAGTGATCGATGGTGCCCTTCAGGTACCTAAGTACTCGCTTTGCGGCTGTCCAGTGTTCCTTAGTGTAACAGTTGTTGAACTGTCCTAAGTAGCTTACGGCAAAGCTAATATCGGGTCTCGTTCCCAACGATAGATAGGTTAGCGCACCTATAAGCTCCCTATAAGGTAACTTCAGCTCTTCACTAGATGGGCTCTCCGTCGGTTTCCTTAACTTCGTTCCTGGATCAACTGGAGTGCTTACAGTGTTCGCATCCGCCATGTTGAATCGATCTAGTATTTCCAAGATATATGCTCTCTGGCTTAGACTTATCTTGTATTTCTTTAGTGAAAATTCCATCCCTAGGCAATGATTAACTGATCCCAGATCTTTCATTTCAAATCTTTCAGATAATTTGGCTTTTAGGGACGATATTGCCTTTTTGTCACGTGATGCGATAATCAGATCGTCTACATAAGTGACAATTATCATAATGTCTTTCCCTGTTTTACTAGTGAATACACATGGGTCGGACTTAGTTGGATTTGCACCACATTCACTAAGTGTCTGGCTTAGTTTCTGATACCAGCTCCGACCGGCTTGCTTCAGGCCGTATAGTGACTTCCTAAGTAGACATACTTTATCACCTTTTCCCAGTGTGTTCAAGGTATCTCGAGCCTTCTTTCTGGTAGCCTCGTTGTATTTGGAGTTATCACAAATAATCTTCAATGATTCATCCAAATATTCGGGGGTTTCCATGTAAATCGTCTCATCTAGACTTCCATTTAAGTATGCGCAGGTAACATCCAGTTGCTGCATGTCCATATTTAAATGTGCTGCTAGGGCAGATACAAGTCTTATGGAGCTAAGCCTTGCTACAGGGGCAAAAGTCTCGTTGAAATGTGTTCCGGGCTTTTGGCTAAATCCCCGAGCGACTAGTCTTACCTTCCTCCTTTCGATAGTTCCATCAGGTTTGTACTTGTTTCTCAGGACAATACGGCTTCCAACGATGTGCTGGTTACATGGTCGGTCGATTAATTCCCAAGTACCATTCTTCAAGATAGATGCCACTTCGTCTGCCATCGCCTTGTGCCATTCGTCAGCGTCCTCGCCTCTGATTGCCTGATGCATCGGGACCTCGGACAGTAATACCTCTTCAGAAGAGAGTGCTGAACCTCTCGGGGGTGTCCTGTACCTGTATATCTTTCTAGGTCTTCCCCTCGAACCAGTTCGCCGAATTCTAGGTCTCCCGCGGGCACGCCTGGGTGGCTCAGAATCGTGATTAACCTCGGGCTCTTCTTGTTCCGTTGTAGGAGATTCATGTTCTGGATTTTCGTTCTCGACAACTGGGGATAGCTGTACCTCGATAGTATGCGTCTGAGATTCATTCTCCTTGGATGATCCTTCCAGAATAAAATCTGTCCATTCTTGGCTTGTGACTTCTGCATTTTCCAAGAACTTAACATCCCTCGTGACTACGAATTTATTCTCCTTCGGCAACCAGACCTTGTATCCTTTCGTTTGTTCCGAATACCCTATGAAAATTCCTTCCTTACATCTTGCGTCTAGCTTCCCCTTGGCCTGATCTTGGTTTAGACAGAAGACCTTGCAACCAAAATCTCTGAGATGCGAAACGTCGGGAGTCTTTCCAGTCCACTTTTCGTATGGTGTTAACCCGTTCAGACTTTTGGATGGACATCTGTTCCGCAAATAGTTGGCCGTGTTGATGGCTTCAGCCCAAAAGATCGGAGGTAAGCCGGACTGCATGATTAGACAACGTGCTGTATCCAAGAGAGTGCGGTTCTTCCTCTCCGCTATACCGTTCTGTTCCGGAGTGTATGGGCAAGTCAAGCGACGTGAAATTCCGTGCTTTTTCAGGAGATCCTCCATTTCCTTACATGTGTACTCCGTCCCGTTGTCAGATTGGATGCACTTTATCTTTTTGTTCTTTTGGTTTTCGACCAGTGTAATATATTCCTGAGTCTTTCGCACAACTTCATTTTTATGTTTCATGAAGAATACCGTGCAATACCTAGAATAATCATCTATGAATTCGACAAAATATTTGTACTTCGAGTGAGATTCTACTCGCATGGGACCGCAAACATCAGTATGTACGATTTCTAGCATTTCCGATTCCCTGTCGTCATTTTTCCGCATATGCAAATTTCGCAATTAAGTTCCCCATTATTAGGCATATTTTCAATATTTATTCCACCTAATCTTCCTTTCTTCAATGAAGAATTCAAATCCTGAAAGTTCAAATGTCCTAATCTACGATGCCATAGTTTGACATTTTTAGAATTCATGGTCGAAATGAAAGCTGATTTATTCTGCGCTTCGCCTTCTCTCGCGTAGTATAAATCGCCACTACGATCGGCTACAACTTTTATATCACCATTACTATCATAGATCAAAGCATTTTCTTTCTTGAATAAAACTTCAAATCCTTTATCGGTAATCTTTGCAACAGAAAGTAAGTTTACTCTTAGGTCGGGAACATGAAAAGCTTTGTGGAGTGAGATGTTTTTCGTGTCGCCAAAAACGTCAGCAACAAACGTAGCTGTTCCGGAACCTAAAATGTCCGTAAATTCACTATTTGCTAAATTCAAATGATCATGTCTACGTTCAAGGTCAGAAAAACAACTAATGTCTTTACATAAGTGAGACGTTGCGCCACTGTCTAGACACCATTTCAGTCTTTTGTGATTCTGTTCAACATGATAACATTCCGCGGTAACGAGTCCCACGTGTTCGGAACAGTTCGCTTCACTTTTGTAAGAATTGGCAACAGTCTTACCTTTGTCTGGACATTCAGCGGCCTTGTGGCCTACTTTTCGGCATCTGTGACACTTATACCTGAACGTTCTTCTGCCTTCCGAGACGCCGCTGCCTCGTGCACCTTCCGAGACGCCGCTGCCTCGTATACCTTCCGAGACGCCACTGCCCCGTCCGCCATTTCCTGCGTGACCGTGATTTTTCCCATAATTCCGCTTCACGAACATGACGCCTTCCGTTTCTCGAACGTCGCCTTTCCGCGCAGTATACTCTTCTATAATTTTTATTCGAAGAATTTCCGGGGATGGTAATTCGTCTCTAGACTCAATTGCACACCTGAAGTTTTCAAAACTGGCTGGCAGGCTATACAGTAGCATTATCGCTAATAGATCTGCATTGATTTCTACATCCATGTCAATTAACTTGTCAACTGCATCGAAAAATGAGTTTAAATGACATCGTATGTCCTGTCCCTCTTCCATACGTTGCAGTGTAAGCTGTTTGAACAATGTGGCCTTTCTAGCGGGTCCTTTTGATTGGTAAATACCCTCCAACTTTTGCCACAGTTCCTTGGATGTATTACAGTTCTTTACCTGTTTGATTTCTGAGGGGCTTATTGACAAAATTATGTCCGACATCGCCTTGCTGTCACCTTTAGTCCAGGCTTCTACAGCTCTCGTGGATGCTTCGTCCCCATCATCTAGCCGTGGCTGCTTTATCTCGCCAGATACATAACTCCAGTGATCGTTTCTTACCAGCAATGCCCTCATCTGTATTTTCCACGTGTCGTAGTTATCCCTGCTAAGCGAGTCTATACAGGATACTTTTGCCACACTCATGTTTGATAACACTAGTCACACACTTCCTATATTATCTTCAGCACTTGCAATAATTGTTCAATGTCCGTAGCACTGTCTCTGGGCACGTAACCTGTTGAGGATAGGTAAGCAGAGCAATTCAACTCGCAGTGGTCTTCGGTTCAGAACAGTTTATTGATTACATGTACATGGATGGGTAGATAAGCGACAGGTGTAGATCGGGCTTCCGCGTTCCGCGATCCGCGCGCGTGTGCTGGCTGCTGTTGTAATACGAGTGCTTCCCACGACTGACTCTTCACGACTGACTTCATTCTGTGGTGCGGCGCGCGGGGACAGGACGGCGGTTACAAGCTTCTAGGTTAGGCAACGTGTCTGGTCGTCTCGCCAGTAGCGGCGCGGCGGAGTGACGCTAGTACGCGTTCCAACATAAGCATTATATTGAGATATTTTTGTCTTATCTTTAATTTCATTCTTGTATAAATAACGTGATTTACTAAATATATTTACCTTTCAGTTTTCGGTGTTAAAACATTATGTAATCTCTGTTCTAGCATTGTTACTGTTTCCTTACTAAGGCGAAATCTTATTCGAAATTCTTCGTCTTTCCAACGTGCCTTTCCAACGTGTAAAGTCGAGGGACTTTTGGACTTGTCACTCGATTCTCTTTTTCCGGATCTGAAGAATCCTCACTGCTAGTTTGCCAAAGTAATCTCCTGGGTATATTTTCAGGCGAAGGTGAAGAAGACGACATTTTATTTTGAATCGTCGTTTTATAGATAGTTGAAAATGCTTATAATAATACAAGTAGGTAAAATATAAGCAGACGAAGTAGGGGAGACCGAGGAGGGTTGTGACAATTTTCACTTTCACGAGCATATCTTGGTGAGAAAAAGGCCTATGCTTATGATTTTCGTACTCACAATTGCTAGTCCTGTCCGCTATGTGAAACAATTATAATATTTTAGAAAATAATCACGGTCCTTGAATAATTGGCTGAAACTGGAAGACTGTTTCTTGTCACAATTCTCCTAATATCGAGGTAAATTGTGACACATGACGAGGTAAGTCGTGACTGCAACATATTTCGGGATTAGAAGGGAACAAACCTAAATGAAACGCAACTGATATGCTTGAGTACACTATTGATTATTAACATAACTATTAAACTATTTATAACTTCAACATAACATGACACTTCTGTGAGATCAACAGACATAAAAACGCATTATAGGTCTGCTCCTAGCACATTCTAGTCTGATAGGCAGTTATGACAGAAATAGAGGAGCTTTCCCCCAGTGCAAGCTTCATGCGACCATCCTTTGCAATCAATGCACTGAACCCATTTTTCCCTGGATTTGTTGTTTGCAAAAGGCTCAAGGCAACAAAGACAGAAGCAATCATTTTATTCTTCTTCTTCGTCGCTTTTGTTTTTCTTACTGTTTATCTTCTTTGCTTTAACTTGCTCAGAATTGTCCTTGTTGAAAATATGTCTTTTAACGTTCTTCGTCCTCCTACTTGCTTCCATAGCAACAATTTCGTCCTCAATAGGTGTATCAGTGAGCACAGCAGACTTGATCTTACTTATCTTACCTTTTCTTGGTGGAGCTTTTGGCAGAGGTCTAGGAACTTCTGGAGAGAATTCATTGGTTATAGTGGCGAGCGGGCTACTTGCTGACGATGTGGAGGCAATAGGTTCATCTTTTGCAGGCTCGTTGACCTTTTTGCTCAAAACGGATGAATTGACGGCAGGTTCTTTTTGTGCATCGATTGCAAGGTCCTTATTTCCAGAAAGTTCTACAATTTCATCATAAGTGACTTTGGAATGTTCTTCAATTGCATCTGCCTCATTTTCTCCTTTATTTATCGATGGATCTGGAGAAGTGAGATTAGATGCATTTGCAATACTGAAAGTTTGATCTGGCGGTGTATTGGTGATAGTGCGATCAGTAACTTGACTAGGTAGGAAGTCGGCTTCTATAAATATATTTGTATTAACAGGCCGCGTTCCTGTTGCAGCAAAGCCAGCTCTCACATTCTTCGCCGTGATCGCCACATCAAATGCTGTTTTTGTAATTGATGGAATGCCATAGATAGATATAACTTTGCCAGCATTTGTGTGCACCCAGTTATCACAAGCTGTGTTCAGAGGACCAAAAATAGCACGATCCATCGGTTGCAGCTTGTGAGTACAGTGCGGAGGGAACGTAAGCAAAACCACACCATGTTCTCTACAAAACTCAATATTTTTCAAAGTCAAATGCGATGAGTGGTTATCTAAAAGTAACAGCACTTTCTTTTCTTTTGATGGTCTTACGTAGTTGATGTAATGATGGAGGAACAGGTGAAAGTCGTCCTCATGCATCCATCCAGATCCGTTAGCTGTCCCTACTGAACCAGTAGGACCATCTCGAATAAAGTGGTCTTGGTATCTTTTACGTGGAAATATGAAGAGAGGAGGTATGTAGTTACCAACAGCATTTCCAGCCAAGGCCAACGTCACCAGAGTTCCTCTCTCCGCCGACGTCATTGCACTGACCTGTTTTTCACCGCGTTGTGCAATGATTCTGTCAGGTTTCTGGACTGTCGTAATTCCTGTTTCGTCAACATTCCAAATATCTTTTGCTTCAAGCGCGTGTTTGGCCAGGACACCTGTATAGTTTTCAAAGAAGGCAGCCATATTCGTCTTATTGAAGCTCGTAGCGCGAGCTACACTTGTAGGTTGAGGCAATCAAAGGCCGGCCATACACGTAACGGTTTACCTGTACGGTAGGCCTGCGCAGGTTACTCTGCAGGTATTCCTGCACAGGCAAAAGAGCACACACACGTTACGGTAAAAAACGGAGGGATTCAGTTCAGTTCGAGATGGCGACCAATCAAGAAGATTGGCTTTTGAAAAGGAATTACTACACCCACACAAAATTACTACAAGAATTAAGTTCCGAACCAATGGATTACCGTAATTATTTGCGGATGAGCGAGGAAGTCTACCAAAAATTATTATCAATGGTAACCCCTTTGATACAAAAGAACAATACAGTTATGAGAGCTGCAATTTCCGCCCATGAAAGATTGACAGCAACCTTAAGATTCCTTGCAACTGGCCGGTCATACGAATGTCTCAAGTATTCTACTATAATATCGCCCCAAGCTCTTGGTAAAATAATTCCAGAGACATGTGAAGCTATATATAAAGTGTTGCGAAAGGACTATCTTCAGGTACGTACAATAACAAACAAATATAAATTAAATTATTTTTTTTTTGCCGTAAAGTTTTTTATTTAATGCCTCCAACAAAAAAATTACATACTATCTGCATCAAACTGCGAGAAATAGGTACCTGCAAAACTTGTCTGGCTCGTAAAACCTGCCACTGTTGACTGTGTACCTTGTTGATCATAATTAGAAGATGGCGAGACATAGGGTGTGCTGGTGTATGAAGCGGGGCTGCTCATGGGACTGCTCACTGTAGGGTTCGAATACTGAGGATTATTATATGATGAGTATAATGGCGCATTCAGCATACCAATTTCCGCGTCAAATAATATATCATTAATTTTTTTCTCAACAATTAAACCCTGACGTTTATCCAGAGATCTGATTCTCATTGCAATACTTTTACCCAAAAGATCATAACGATCTTCCTGTAGCCGAGGCTTCTTGAAATGATCACGTACCGAAACTAAAACATCATTTGACAGCTCCTCACTTCTTCTTTTCTTTGACAGATCAGGTCTTGACCCAGGAAGTCGCCCGCATTCTTTGGAGTCATTACAGCGTCCATTTTCACTTGACCTTGCTTGTTTTGGACTAATCTCGTTTTTCTCTGTGGTTAATGTTACTTCATTCACGCAAGATGTTGGGGCTGGTTCCTCGATCATCTGCTGCAACAAATATACATATTATTGGACCCAAATGCTCAAAATCGACAACCGATTTTTTTTGTACAACAATACAGCAATAATAGCAAACAAATTTATTAACTTCAGCTTAAATAAGCATATAATGTTAATAAATTTGACAAATTATAATTATAAATTTAGGGAACACAAATATCATAATGTTTTTTTTTCAGTTTCCTGATTCTGCTGAAAAATGGGAAAGAATTGCAAGAATGTTTCAGGAAAAATGGCATTTTCCACACTGTCTCGGAGCCATGGATGGCAAACATATAGATATAGTTCCCCCAGGTAATAACGGATCGTTCTACTTTAACTATAAAGGCAGACACAGCATGGTACTGCTCGCAATAGTGGATGCTACATATCGGTTTCTCTTAGTGGATTTTGGAACTAATGGCCGAATTTCAGATGGAGGTGTTCTTTCAAATACTACATTTCATGAAAGATTGCTCAGTAATAACCTCAATATGCCAGACCCTAGCAATGTCTCCGATAATTTCAAACAAATTCCCTACGTGTTTGTGGCCGATGATGCCTTTCCCCTAGCAACGAATATTAATAAGCCGTTTCGACAAGCTCAGCTAGACTCAGCTTCTAAAGAGATTTTTAATTACCGACTTTCCAGAGCAAGGCATGTTGTGGAAAATGCGTTTGGAATACTTGCATCCAGATTTCGTATATTCCATACACAAATCAATTTAGAACCAAAAAACATATCAAAAGTAGTGATGGCAACGTGTGTCTTGCATAATTTCTTGATGCAACAACAACCAACCACTTATGTGCATCCAAATAATACATATCAGGAGAATTATGACGGGGAAGTTATATGCACCGGCTTGGATACCTCCGAATCGAACATGATCGCATTGGAACGTCAAAACCAAGGAAATTGGAATTCTACTGCTAAACAGTTAAGAGATAAATTCAGTTCCTACTTTATGCATGAAGGTAAACTTTCTTGGCAGGAAAGTCGCATTCTTAAAAATAAGAAGTGAAAAAATATGTATCATTTAAAAACTATTTAATAAATTCTAGTATTATTATTTAATTGATTACTTACTTTGTCACTTTCATCGTCGTCATCCAAATTTGTAACAGACGAACTAGGCATGTCTTGATCTCCCAAAAAACCGAATAAGTTGTAGTACCACAGTTTCGGTATGTACAAATCGTCTGTTGATGCTCCAGACTTCTTTGACATATCATGTTTCTTCTTCTCTTTACGTACGTTACTTCTCAAATTGTTAATCTTTTTTACTACCGAGTTTCTTGTAGTATCGGGCTCCAACTCCTTTAACTCTTTAACTTTATCACCAATTTTTCGTAGGCTGCATTTCTCTTGTCGCGATCATGATATTCCTTGCTTTTTACTCGCCACAAACAAGGTTCAGATTTATATATTTCAATAAACTGTTCTATTACTTCATTACTTTTCCGTCCTGACATATCTTCCATATAATTCCACAAAAAACTTAATAAATAACGCAACGTAAACAGACAAAAAACTGAAATAATAAACGTTCAACAACAAACTGAAATAACAACTGCGCAGGCATTCGATAAGCGGCACACACGCTCCGGAAAGCACAACTGCACAGGTCGAAAGAATTGATTTTTCATTCTTCTACGGTCGCCTGTTCAGGTCGCTTCGCCTGTGTACCTTTGCCTGCAGACGCTGACATACACGCTACGGTTTATCTGTACAGGTGACCTGTTCAGGTAAACCTTTCCGGTAAACCGTTACGTGTATGGCCGGCCTTAAAGATAAAATTGGATGACGCTCCATAAATAGCTTTAGCCATACTTCACCTGCCATTTTATTTTCCTCCCACGACATCGGAAATTTCTTATTATGCTTTTTTGCTAACATATAGGCTAATCTTCTCGTCTCTTTTGTTGTCAATCCGTAATTACATGCCGCAGAAGTCAACAAATACTCACATAGTATATTTTCTTCCACCTTCGAAAAAATCGTTTGGCTGACATATCCGACCGATGGGGGCTTGCCTTTTGATTGAGCCTGGTATGACTTTTTCTTTTTGATATATCTTTGTAATGACATATAGTTCAGATGATACGCAGATGCAGCATCTGTAAGACTCTGTCCCCTTGATGTTACCTCTTCAAAGCCAGTTCATATATTTCGACACTAGACATGCCTCTATCAGTTTTTCTTACATATTTATTAGGCATTCTAAAAACATAAAATTGAGATTTAGCGATACATAATCACAACTCTCCTCTGTCACAACCCACCTCGGATATGCTGTTAACGTTCGGTTGACATTTCAATCGGTAGATCGACCTGAGGTTGAACGCAGATGTGTCGAACCGGCGGTTGAAACATCGGTTCTGGTTTATAATACAGAAATTTCAGTTTGAGCGGCGCACAAGGGGTATTTCATTTTTCTACGTGGCCAAAATTATTTTTTTGGCCAGGCCAAATAGGTATATCATACAATAGTAACGTTTTTATTAAATATCTATGTTATGTCTATTAAAAGTACGCTTTATAATGAAAAAGAAAAAACAGAACAAACTAATATTCTTGGGCACCATATTCCACAGGGTTTGGCTGCGCTGCTAAGAGCATGAAACATTTATAATCCACCTGGAACGGTCCAGAGTGAACAAGTTAGACAAGAATTTATGGAGTATTTCACAACAGCAGGCCAGATTCCTTGGCAACAAGATAAATAGATAATGCAGAGACTTGAATATTGAACTTGAAGTAAATACATATATTTCTCGATATATTGTAATCGACATTTATTCATATATTTGAGTTTCCTTATATCGTATTATTTGGCTTACCTCATCAGTACTACGAGTCTCCCTGGGTTGAAATTTATCCATAAAAAATAACAGGCTTTTGAAAGCAAACCATGTAGAATGATAAATTTCATCAGTTCCACTGCCACACTTTTTAGTCGTACCTTCTTTTTGGCATTCTCGCCTGAATGATGCAAGAAGCGAATTTATTTTCTTTTTACTTTCATCCACATTCCAATTTAATTCTAAGAAATATCAGTCCACGCATTAATTTTCTTGTTGGTTATTTTGTACAATTTTGATTTTGGATCCCATAAGCACGGTTTGCGAACGAAATCGTTCGGTCTTCTTCGGTTCGCCATTTAAATTGGGCGAGCGTAAGCGAACGAATTCGTTCGTTCGCTCGTGTCCGCACTAATTTAAATGCACCTTTACACAACCCAACAAGCCTTTTTCCCCCAGGCGTCTTTGAACTGTTTTGAAATCTGTCCAAATGATTTGCCACCTTGTTGACAAAATGACATTTAATATGCCCACAGGCTCGTTGACAGTCTCATCACTATTCGCTATACATATGAAAATTGTCACTTATGAGTATATTCCTAAAAACGTTCAAATATTTTGAATGTCGCTTACGTCCTGCGAGCTGAGGCGAAAGTGGTCGAGCAGACCCGATAGTTGCCGATTCTGAACCTTAACTAATCTAAACAACTATATTCTTTCAAAAGTACTGCAAGTATAAAGAATTGTGTAACTTATGTAAATAACCTGCGACTGGAAACTCGAGAAATTGAGTTTTTCATCGTCGGTCAAGTTTTTTTGACCGGCAGTGTATATCACTCAAAGATGTATAGATTATGAAGATATTCATTTGGTTACTATGATTGACGGCTCATGACGACATCAACGTCAAGGTTTACTGCAAAATTTGTCAGCAACACGTAATAATCATTCATCTAGAGATACAGTACTTATCCGAAATAATCACGCTGATCTTTTCGTTACCACCGAAGCTTTTCCTTGGCAAAATCGTAAGATCAAGATTACAGGGTAAATAATCCAAATGTCTAACCTGTATTTTTATAAATAAAGCTTGTTTATATACTTATTTTCTGTTATTTTATAAAAATTCTTACATTTCTCTCACATACCAGAACAGACGAACAGAGAAGTGACTAAGTGGAAAGGCTACAAGTACAGTTATAAAGGAAAGGGTAGGTACTTACTTGTATAGAGTTTGACTTTCTATACTCCAAAGTATCATTTAAGAACTCCATTTCCCCGAACCAGCTTAAACTGGGCTTATAAACATCATTAGTCCCGGCTCCTGAACGTTTGGAACTCTTAATTTTATTTACTTCTTGGTGGTAAGTACTTCTCAATCCTTTTATCTTGTTTTCTATATACTTTACAGTCATATCATTCATTCCATCTTGAATTTTTACATAAGCATTATCACGGACTATTTTATTTATATAAAGAGAACTGCTTGAATTCCAAAGACATTCGTATTCCCGGTACAAACAAATAAATTCTATAGTCTTCTTATCTCCCCATCGAGACATGATAAAAAAATGCAGGACAGACGAACAGATCAGTTACAGGGCCACTGGCATGCCTGTAGCTGTCGCGTACGTGCATTTTGGCATGCTGTTTCAGTCCCCACCACGCCTTCGCCGCACCTTGCGTGCCAAAAAATCAAAATGTTTGCAATCTAGTTGCTTGCCAGCTAAAGGCATGCAATGTTAGTGGCTGGCATGTGCAAGGAGCTGGTATACCATTGTGCAAGGTACAGGTATGTGTATTACCGCCTTAAAGGGTTTCGGTTGATTTATTCCAACGGTGTCCTCAAAATCAATATCATCATCTGCCTGCTCATCATTAGATTCTGAAGACAACTCTGTGCATGTATCTGGAGGTTCTGGAATCGGAACTTCTGGATCATGACTAACAGGCTTTAATGCAGATGGCACATCGGGGCATTTGACATGGTGGCGATTGTTTCTGTTTATTCCTTAAAAGTATATTTTGGGTATATTTCTTTAGAAAATTAAACTAAATTTTATAAATTCTTACCTTGTAGATTAGTCATACAAAAATAACAGTCAGTAGTATGATCTTTGCCTTCCCGCCAAACCATCGGTGTACCAAAAGGTAGCCTTTTTTGTTTCTAGGTACTCCAACGTCGCAAACCTTCTACGCACATTTTGCAACATATGTGAGGCGCGAATGACTTGTCTTGATCGCAGAGTTTGATTCCAAAGTAGGCTAGGTACATTTTTTTCACAAAACTCGTGATGTCTGGCTTTCGATTAGGTAAAGTAATTTGTCCACATATATAACAAAACTTGTGTGGGTCGTTCTTGCATTTTTTTCTGTTCCTTATGAAAATAGTAACGTTCGCACTCAAATAAAAATACTCGTACTACCGCTCGAACAGCTTAAGAAGGACTGAGGCCAACTTGTGCGCACCGTGAGAATAAAAAATGTTGATCATAGCAAACTGTTCGCACGGCGTTGCCAGCAATTGCGATATATCCTGTAATTTTTATCATTTATAAATAAATTCCATTTTTTTACGATAGAATTAAAACTTTACCTGATCGAGCAAAATTACATTCTTTGAATTCAGCATGCAAAAATGGTAATAAGTCGCCTAACAAAACAATGACATCGTAGCACTTTTTTTTCACGAAAATTAATGCTACAATGCATCCTTCATATCCGGGATCGATTACATCTCGTGGCCGGGGCATATTAAGCCTACCAGAGTGAGCGAAAGTTACCTATATGAAACGCACATGGAAATTTCAAAATAGGGTTTGTGCCGTTGTTTGACGGAAGAATCTTTACATTCAGGGTCTCTAGTCAGGTTTTTTAGGAATACAGACGATATCACATCACATATATTTATTATTGATATTTCAGTATCTTGAAACACAAATTTTATTATTTTAGAGATGAGTCCCCAGTTCTTCCTGTCCAGACCGCATGCAATTCTGGGGAAGGCCACTTTGTTTACATTGTATAGGTTGGCATACTCGCGTACGCGACGCAGCGCCAAAAATATAGTTCGATAAGTGGGCTTTCCCCAAAAATGTTTTTTTGTTACCAGGTAGAACAACAATCTACCCTCAGGTTTGAGGGCGCCGACTCCTCCCGGAGCTAGATGTTGGGCACGAAGTTCCTCCAGGCCGCCGTATTTTTGCCTGAAATTGTGAGCTTTACCATCAGAAACTTTCTTATCTTGTTTAACTATACTATACCTAAATATTTTAGCGATGCCTCGTGACATTTTCAGATCTTGCGAAACACAATGTCCCAACGAGTAATCTAGTGGAGCAGTGAATAAATCTGCTCTAACTTCCTCGTAATCGCAGTAGTGGGTGACGCCTGTATTATATTGTGCCCACCACATCTTCCACTCCCCATCGCTGTACTTTTGGGGTCTGTATCTTCGATTCCTGCATATTATTATGTATTACATAATAAACATTCTAAAGCAAACGCCAGCTTCTGAGACCGGCAGAGCTGGATGTGTATCGTTTATTTTGCCGGTATTTTCAAGGTACACACCTTAAATAGTGTTGTGATGCTCTATTTGCTTGATTCTTTTATATTAACAATAAGGATTTATTACAGATATCTCAAGTGTTCCGATTATACAACGATAACTTTGCATGAGAGCGCACGCGATGGTTGACGCATCTGCAATAGAAGCATATTATTACACCTTGAGATATACATGTCTATACCCTGGTACCGAAAAGGAAGAGAACCTGCAGTAGCGTGCAATGTGTTTTTCTGCTGTTCCTTTTCCGTACCCGAATATAAAATAATAAGGTGCCTAACACCTACTTACCCTATACAAGGCAGATGCATAACGATCGTATGTGGCTATCAGGTGTTCCGAACACTCAGGGACGAACAGTTATGAATAATAGATACTATAACCACAATTAGTTAGAAGTACCTGCCCCCCCGTCCCTCCCCCATCCCTCCTCCATCCCTAATTATCTCTCAAAATATTTTTTTCGTTTCATTTCTGCCGCCAGTATACTGATTTCCAAAAACTATAAAAGCTTCTCTTTCAGGATTTTGTCAAAATGCCATTAGTACTTTTTGAGTTACAGGGGGACAAACATCAGACGACATAAATATGTTACGACAGACAAATGGACACAAACATCCAAAATACGCATTATCTGAAGTACGAAATTTTTCGCGATAATGATGTTTTCCCGCCTACTTTCACAGAAAGTAAAATATTGGATCCGAACCTTTTTTCTGATACCATATTTACTATGTGTGTCCTTCGTATAGAGAGTACAAACCCAACAACAAAATCAAATATATACTTGAATTTTTTGGAACGCTGAGAGTGATAATTTTTCACACGAAAAACTTTGCACTCTGCCGCCCTTCTATGAATTCGACGAAGACAGATCGACTGCCACTTAGATGGCTGTATAGTGACTAATTACGTCGAAAACTACCCGGTAGCTTTGCCGTGAGAGTAACACACCAAATTTGTAAGAATTGTGACACTCGAGCAAGTCAACATTATTTTCAATAACACAGAACAAACCCAAAAAATTACTCACAAAAATATAATTACATTATGAGGATTTTCAATTCTAACTGCACTACACAGTCACAATAACACCCTCCGATTATTTTTTATTTGTTAAAAGTAGCCGCTCAGTGCTGTTGACCCCAAAGCGTTGCGCTGCTGCCAAATTGTTAGTCCCGTCTGTCTTGGAACAGGAGAATCGTATAGCTGGTCTCAGCTGTTGGATGCATTGTTTATAATATTTTGCTATTGTAAATAAATGACACAAAGTGGAAAGTAGAAAGAAATATAAAATACAGTTTTTTAGGAATACAGACGATATCCATCACATATATTTTTATTGATATTTCAGTATCTTGAAACACAAATTTTATTATTTTAGAGATGACTCCCCAGTTCTTCCTGTCCAGACCGCATGCAATTCTGGGGAAGGCCACTTTGTTTACATTGTATAGGTTGGCATACTCGCGTACGCGACGCAGCGCCAAAAATATAGTTCGATAAGTGGGCTTTCCCCAAAAATGTTTTTTTGTTACCAGGTAGAACAACAATCTACCCTCAGGTTTGAGGGCGCCGACTCCTCCCGGAGCTAGATTTTGGGCACGAAGTTCCTCCAGGCCGCCGTATTTTTGCCTGAAATTGTGAGCTTTACCATCAGAAACTTTCTTATCTTGTTTAACTATACTATACCTAAATATTTTAGCGATGCCTCGTGACATTTTCAGATCTTGCGAAACACAATGTCCCAACGAGTAATCTAGGGGAGCAGTGAATAAATCTGCTCTAACTTCCTCGTAATCGCAGTAGTGGGTGACGCCTGTATTATATTGTGCCCACCACATCTTCCACTCCCCATCGCTGTACTTTTGGGGTCTGTATCTTCGATTCCTTCATATTATTATGTATTATATAATAAACATTCTAAAGCAAACGCCAGCTTCTGAGACCGGCAGAGCTGGATGTGTATCGTTTATTTTGCCGGTATTTTCAAGGTACACACCTTAAATAGTGTTGTGATGCTCTATTTGCTTGATTCTTTTATATTAACAATAAGGATTTATTACAGATATCTCAAGTGTTCCGATTATACAACGATAACTTTGCATGAGAGCGCACGCGATGGTTGACGCATCTGCAATAGAAGCATATTATTACACCTTGAGATATACATGTCTATACCCTGGTACCGAAAAGGAAGAGAACCTGCAGTAGCGTGCAATGTGTTTTTCTGCTGTTCCTTTTCCGTACCCGAATATAAAATAATAAGGTGCCTAACACCTACTACCCTATACAAGGCAGATGCGTAACGATCGTATATGGCTATCAGGTGTTACGAACACTCAGGGACGAACAGTTATGAATAATAGAAACTATAACCACAATTAGTTAGAAGTACCTGCCCCCCCGTCCCTCTCCCATCACTCCTCCATCCCTAATTCTCTCTCAAAATATTTTTTTCGTTTCATTTCTGCCGCCAGTATACTGATTTCCAAAAACTATAAAAGCTTCTCTTTCAGGATTTTGTCAAAATGCCATTAGCACTTTTTGAGTTACAGGGGGTCAAACATCAGACGACATAAATATGTTACGACAGACAAATGGACACAAACATCCAAAATACGCATTATCTGAAGTACAAAATTTTTCGCGATAATGATGTTTTCCCGCCTACTTTCACAGAAAGTAAAATATTGGATCCGAACCTTTTTTTTGATACCATATTTACTATGTGTGACTTTCGTATAGAGAGTACAAACCCAACAACAAAATCAAATATATACTTGAATTTTTTGGAACGCTGAGAGTGATAATTTTTCACACGAAAAACTTTGCACTCTGCCGCCCTTCTATGAATTCGACGAAGACAGATCGACTGCCACTTAGATGGCTGTATAGTGACTAATTACGTCGAAAATTACCCGGTAGCTTTGCCGAGAGAGTAACACACCGAATTTGTAAGAATTGTGACACTCGAGCAAGCCAACATTATTTTCAATAACACAGAACAAACCCAAAAAATTACTCACAAAAATATACTTACATTATGAGGATTTTCAATTCTAACTGCACTAGACAGTCACAATAACACCCTCCGATTATTTTTTATTTGTTAAAAGTACCCGCTCAGTGCTGTTGACCCCAAAGCGTTGCGCTGCTGCCAAATTGTTAGTCCCATCCGTCTTGGAACAGGAGAATCGTATAGCTGGTCTCAGCTGTTGGATGCATTGTTTATAATATTTTGCTATTGTAAATAAATGACACAAAGTGGAAAGTAGAAAGAAATATAAAATACAGTATACATGAACAGTGCCACAAAATTGATGCCAGGGTAGTGAAAAATACGTAGGTACACGACCTCCAAAAAAAAATCAAAGTAATGTGCATTTGGCAATATAAAGAGTTTTTGTATATTGTTATGCTAGTTATGAATACAGAGATTTGTTGATGACTGTAGTGACACTTGGGAATGTAGCACGTCAGGGGAGTACTCGTATAGGTACATTTTGTTAATTTTCAAGAACATTGAGTCTACATCTTCATGGTTACCTCAATATCGTGATATTTTCCGAATCATGCATAACATGTTCCACTATTTGGATGGTTTATTTTCATTATTTTGCTGATTTGCTTATGATTTTTTTTGTGGAACATTTGAGCCCCAAAACTGCATACGCACCCATATACTGCATGTATATCTACGACAATAATTCATTCGTAAAGAACCACCCGTTTCATTGATGCATACGTTTGTGGCAGCCATACATAACGCACATATCAGAACAGGTGAAAAGAGGGAAAGTATGTTCAAATGCGTATAGTGAAATGGTAGGTAGTATGAAGCAACGAATTGATAGATTAGAAGCAGGCAGACATATATCTGTACCTCAGAGCCAGACTAGGTTAAGTCCAAATAAGTAGTTTTGAGATAATTGTATTTGAAATAGTTTTCTTGCATTGTATTGTATGCGAATTGACATGAGTTAAAAAGTCGTAATGTCCTTATTATTACAGATAGATAGACGCTGCATGTAGCAAATGAAAATTCACAATATTATCATAAGCTTAACATATTAAAATCATTTTTGACAAAAATGTACTTAACCTAGTCTGGCTCTGGGGTACAGATATGCTTAAAGTGGTTTGTCGAAAAGATTGCGTAGTTCCAATGCATACTCTTGACTTCTTTGTCTACCAACGTCTACCAAAGTGACTACGTTCTATCAGCATAATAATAATAGGAGGAAATATACTCAGTGACATTAGAAGTGTTACACCCAGAAAAAGTAATTTCTTCAACTTGTTTTTTGGAAACATAATGACTATATTTAAAGCATGCCGTAATAAAAATGTCAACGTTTTATCTTTGTTTTTATTTACCTTTGTTAAAATGTTATCTCTTAGTTATTTATCACCATGTTAGCGACTTTGACAGAGGTAGAATTCTTGCCTATCGAGATGTTGGTTTCTCCTATCGCGAAATTGGTCGTCGTGTTAATAGTCCTGCAATGACGGTAATGCGTGTGTCTCAAGTGTGGATAGAAGAAGGTAGAGGAACACGAAGAACTGGTCCACCGAAAAGTACCACAGAGCGTCAAGATAAGCACTTCGGACAACTAGCTCTACGAGACCGTTTTGCTACAATGCGTCAGATCACTGACCAATGGTTTGAACAAGAAGGTATACCTGTTACTATGCATACACTCTGACTGCGGACCACTGACGTCAAGGTTTGAACTGGAGCAGAGAACGACAACATTGGGAGGCAGAATGACAATGTCATCTTCAGCTACAAATCGTGATTCTATATAGGTACGATGGTCGTAGAAGGGTAAGACGCCGCCGTTTAGGTCGGCGTGATATTGGATTTACTGTTGAGAGGCATATATACATGACTGTTTGAGTAATGGTTTGGGGGGCTGTTGCCTATGGTAGCTGGTCAACCCTTGTCTTTGTTCAAGGCAATAAGACTGCTGCGCGTTATGCTGCTATGATGTTCTACAAACCACTTTACTGCGGTATTTAAAGGGCCGTCCACACGTCCTTTTCCAGCAAGACAACGCACGTCCCCATATTGCTCTTCGTACTGACTCCCTTCAATAAGCAGGCGTTAATGTTCTGCCATGGCCACGCCGTTCACCGGATTTAAATCCCAACGAACATGTGTGGGATATGATGAGCAGGATACTATCCAGTTTGCCCCAACCGCCACAGACCTTGCTACAGCTAATCCACCAAGTTCGAGTTGCTTGAAATGAGGTGCCACAACCAGACATCGATCATCTCATTTTGTCGATGCCTAGACGTATACAGGATTGTATTCAGCTGCGAGGGCGCCCAACACATTATTTTTTCTTCTTATTACTTATGAATAAAGTGTCGTGAAGAATGTTATCAATCATTCTTGATGTAAGACTACCTCATTGCCAAAAAATCAAGTTGAAGAAATAATTTTTTCTGGGTGTAACACTTCTACCTTCAGCTTCATTAGGCTTGTGCTGCTCTTTGCAAATTATGTAAAAAGTAGCATGTCTTGAAATCGTCTATCACCCAAATTATCTGCAAACACTCGCACTGCTTAAAAAAACAACACTAAAACTACGGAATTCATGTTAGAACTGTCACAAAATGGACTTATGTCAAATGCGCTTTCATTCCCACTACAGACTATCAGAATCAGTAGACAAGCAAAACCTTGACTGGCTTCTTTTACTGAGTCAAATTCTTATCTCAATCTTTACGGATAGCTAAAAACGCCAATATTTTTATATTGAATATCGCATATCTCAGGCACAGTTCCGTAATTTTGCAGGATAGCATGGTTATTTAAAAGTAATGTAACACTAGACGGGCCGAACTCGATTTTCTCACTTTTTTGGTTTGTATCGAAATCAACACCTCTTAAGCAGAATATTGAAATGATTGACTATGTACAAAATAAGGCAATGAAAAGTGCTAATTAATTATCAAAATACATGTTTTGCACCTTTTTTGTTTCTTTAATCATAAATTTGCATTTGATCAAATATGTTATGTTTAGCAGCTTAAGCAACGTAAATCAGTTTAACAGAATTGAATTCGAAAATCACGTGACGAGACGACCGCACCGCATGAGACGATGAGAAAAACCAGAAAATTGCACAAGGGTATCGGTATTACTGGAAAATTCCTTGCAAGCACGCTTTCTTTGTAATAATACTTGCACGTTCCCACATTCCAGGCAAATGTCAGTAGTTAATGGCAACACTGAAGATGCTTCAATTTTAGCAGAAGAATCCTACGCATGGAAGGCGGGGAATTCCGTACAGCTCACAGCAAGAGGTGCTGTTGCCAGTGCTTTATCTGTTCCAACGATTCTCTGTAATAACTGTCTTTCTCCCCGCAATAATATTTTTCAAATCTCTCTCAATAACAAGTATAGGCAAATGGGGGAACGGAGCCCCTCGGTGTGTTATAATACTGGGTGTTCCATACTTAAATGGGCATGGTGAAACTGTAGGTAGTATGGACCGAGACCCTTATCTTAAAATGAAAAAGTTCTTCTTGAAGTTTGTGGGATATTTATTTAAACACGCCAAATCTTTAAGATCGCATATTCCAGGCCCTATTAAACCGATTTCGTTGAAATAGGAGTTACGTAAAGGTAAACCGACGTTTAAAAAATGCAGGGCCGGGCTTTTTTTTGTCACTGTTTTGCTTTTGATCAAAATCAACACTTTTTAGCTTTATATTGAAATGTTTGACTATGTAAATAAATGCCAATGAATAGCGCTAACTGATTAGCTAAATAGATTGTGTTAGCGAGGGTGTTGTTGCTATCGATTTGCGGAAGGTCAACTGTAACACGAACTTGGATTTTAAGTGATTTAATATAAAGAAAAGTAGATTAACGATGTAAATAGCAATGTAAAAATAAATGAAGATCTTTGTATACCGGCAGGGATATTATGTAAAAAAACTAAAAAACATCAAAAAGAAAACCGACGAAATGTCATTTTGCAGACTAGGTAGTTTTTAGTGTGCAAATAGTGCATTCCACGTTTGCTCGCACGTTGAAGCAACACTCACAGCTACAAAATGAGTTCACGACAAGTGTTACAACGGCATGTGGTAAGTTAACATTTTGTAGAAAAACTTATGTTATGTCACAACAAACCTACCAAATGTCAAAAAAACGACATAATGACACATTTCAAGAAACATAATACCCGGGCCGGTATTTCACAATTGGCGCTAAGCAATGGGATCTCAAAAACTGTAAGAGAATTCGTCGCTTAGATGGGGACAAAGCAACGTATTTCGGTAATCACGAAAATGCCGTTTAAAAAGAATCGAAATTTAAAGTACTTCCGGAGAGACACGAAAAAAAAAAACGAATTTTACCAAAATCGTTTCAATTTTTTCCTGACTATCTGTAGTGAGATTTCAAAATAAATTTCATCCTAATATTTTTCTCCTCTACAAAATGGCGTAATTCAATCTATCTCTGTCCTCCAGCTCTTTAATTTTGCTTATGGAAGTCATATTGGATTTTTGCACAGATAAATAGGGTTTTCAATTGTTTCCAAAAATGTATAATACGTCATACATTGATATTGCAAAGCTTTAGTTGTCTCAAAAAAAACATAATTTCCTAGGTTGTTCCTTGAAATTATCAGGTAGCCATTTGTTACACCTACCAGATTCATCTCAAAATCACTTTTACTTTTTCTGACTTTTTTTGTGATGGGTTTTCAAAAAAAGTTGCATGTGTCGTTATTAAGTGAGATTTGAAAAAGATTATCGCCAAAAGGAAAGGCAGTTATAACAGAGAAAATGTCCATATGATTTATTTTATTTAATGAAAGAAAGACATATATTTGATGTTCTTGTTTGACCATTACAATTCATGAATCATTGAAAAAGATAAAACAGTAGCAATGCTGCCTGTTGGTTTAACCTGTTCCGTCATTCCCCGCCTGGTCCTTGTAGGACCTGACCGCTAAGATTGATCCATTTTCAGTGTGTAATTACTGACATTTGCCTGGAATGAGGGGACGAGCAAGTAATAATGCAAGGAAGCCCTACTTACAACGAATTTGTAAGTACGGCTTACCTTCCATTGTGCAGTTTTCATTGTTTACTTTCCAATTTCATACTTTTAAACTACGATATACATATGATCGGTATTGTGCCAACACTGCTCATTCCCTGTATCTTGAATTTTATACCAGTGCCGCATCATCCATCGAGGTGTGCAGTGCTTATTTTTCTGAGGCTTATCTTCATATGTTGTAACTGCTGTGATTCTACATTAAGTGTCTGGTTGTGGTCTTTTTTTTTCATTACTTCTGTTTCAGTGAGTGCATGAGTGTATGTGATTTAAATCTGTCTACACATTTTACACACTATTATGTTGTATTTGTCACTTTTCAGTACTATATGTCTTGATCATTATTTTTTTTTGTATCTGTGATTTTTTTTATGTTTGTTAAACTTATGTAGCCCTGGTTGGTATCAAAAGCAGCTATTAGCTGATATACCCGCCAGGTAAAATAAAGGCATATTATTATTATTATTATTATTATTATGTCTTCATATTTTCCAGTCCAGTGCAAATAGGAGAGCGAATGAGAAGTAAAAGGGTATTCTCTATAATACCAGCAGTAACATTGTTTTTTTTACATACATGAGCATTTAATATAGATATATAGATCATTATAATCAGTATAAAAACAAATTTATATAACTTTTGAGAAAAGCAAAAAAAATTACTATATAAAACAATTGAATAATAATTCACATGACTCTAGACACCTATGGTCCACTGTCAATGTTATATTCAATAAGTCATCCTATTCCAAAAACAATATTAATGAAATAAAAACAAAAACAGGACAGAAAACAGACAATATTCAGCAAATATGTGATGAGTTCATAGAATTTTTCACGAATATAGGAGGAAACTTAGCAAATAATATCAAACAAAATGCTGATATTCATCTGCATGAAACAAGACTGAATAATTCATTTGTATTAACTGAAGTAGACTATCAGGATGTTTTCAATGCCATTATGACTCTAAAAAATAAAAAAAGCCCTGGAGTTGACGAAATTAGAGCTGAACATCTAAAGATACTGGCCAAACAAATAACAGAACCACTTGCTTATATCATTAACAAATCCTTCCAATCTGGAGCATTTCCATCAGCTTTCAAGACAGCAATCATCATACCTATCTATAAATCTAATGAGAATACGGACGTCACTAACTATCGACCTATTTCACTTATATCAAGTTTAGCTAAAGTTTTTGAGAAATTACTCCTTAATAAAATGATTAATTTTCTTAATAAATTCAAAATTCTAAATTCAAATCAATATGGTTTTATAGCGGGCAAATCTACAACAGATGGGGTATTAAGTATAGTAGATGAAATAACCCAAAATATAGATGGAAAAGTACCATCGATATGCGTATTTGTGGACTTACAAAAAGCGTTTGACACAGTTAACCACAATATACTTTTGGAAATCTTAGAAAGAATAGGTTTTCGTGGAAAGATGTATACTTTAATGGAAAATTATTTATCAAATAGACCGCAATCAGTAAAATTATTAAGCTCGTATAGTAAAGAAATGTCTGTTAAATGTGGTGTTCCACAAGGTACAATTTTGGGTCCTCTGTTATTCAATATTTATTTAAACGATATATTTAAAATTAACAGTACTGGTAAAATAGATAAAGGTAAGGATTGGAACGACTTAAAAGATATTATCCAAAATGACTTTTGCAAAATTATTCAGTGGTTTAATAACCGAAAATTAACAATTAACTTCACTAAAACTCATATTTTACCATTTTCATCACTATCTAATCATCTACCAAAATATAACCACCTTCGGTTTAAGGTACCTAAATGATAAAAATATAAAAATCAATAGAGTTAATGATACAAAATATTTAGGAATTTATCTAGATCCCCACTTGAGATGGGATGTACATATTTCTCACATACTAAAGAAAATTAGATTCATAGCATATAAAATAAAATTTCTAACCGGTATATTAACTGAATATTATCTACGAATAATATATCAAGCTTTAGTCGAGCCACACATAACATATGGTATAGTAGTGTGGGGTGCTGCATGCACGATATACTTTAACGATTTAGATGTACTTCAAAGAAGAATTTTAAAATCAATGTTAGACAAATCAAAATTATACCCAACTAATGACTTATATAATGATGCACAAGTATATGATACTAAACAACTTTATTTCTTACATACCATCACTCATTATCACAAAACTATTAGTGAACGCGACATAATTAAACATAATCATAAAACCAGATATAAATTACGCGCAAAAAATGTTCCTGAACCAAACAAATCCCTAATGAAACGATGTCACCTGTATATAGCTCCAAAATTGTACGAACACTTACCAAATAATTTAAAACAATTACGCAATACATTAGGCTTCAAAAAAAAATTCAAAAAATTGATTAACACGATTGGGAGAAATCAAATTAATAAAATAATCTCAAATATTACACAATAAGTGCTCTACCATTCTTACCAATAATTTCTTTCGCACAGGCGTTGTCCTCCTATGGATATATTATATTTATTTACTCGTTTCATGTTCCCTGTATTTTAGAGTAAATAAATATTATTATTATTATTATTTATTCGGTAGGCGACTATAAAAATATGGAGCAGGCGCGTAAACAAAAAGTACGTAAGGTCATAGACAGTCATCAGTTGGCAAAGTTTTTCAATGATACACGTGTTTCGTACGCAGAAGTACTGGGGCTACCGGTGGACGATATATATTTGGTCTAGCTGCATCAAGATTTTATGGGGAAAATACTTACTACTATAAGAAAAATATAAAACGCATCATTGTGAATAACAGGTATAATATTAGAAACCTATTTTTTGTCGGAGCTAACAGAAAACGCGATGTAGACTCCGTTGCCCCTACAGAAGATTCTGCTTGCGTGGTGGTTGAGGGGAAGGAAAATACTTTCCATACTGTCAGCAAGAATCCGGAAGAATGTAACATGGCTGGGACGTGCGGACCACTAACACATAGTTCATGGGAAAACGTATCAGTTTCAAATGATTCAGGTCACGATATAGATAATGTGGTTTGCACTGATTTCGATGATATATTTGTCCAGGGGGAAATTGCTTTTACATTGGAGAGCGGTAAAAATGATAGTGTTGTGCAGGGACATAAACTCACAGGCGATAATGATTCTTTGAAAGTTTGTATTACGGGGAGCGTAACAGATTAAGAGCTGGAGGTAGATAGTGCAGTATTCAATATTTTTGAGAGTACCTTCAGTGTCGGAGAAATTTCTTGTTTACCAGTTGGCGGTAAAAATATTAACAATGACGGCAATGTTTCTCCATTGCTACGTCATAAATTTGATCGTAAATTCATATGTCAACATGCTGAGGGGAAATTTTCGTTAAGCCAAGCTAAGTGGAATAGTATACATGTATGTATGGGAAACAACGTACTAAACGACAAAAGTTATGTATTCGTTATAAAAGAGAAAATGTTCAAAACCGTGAGCAACACACGTATATTCAACGTTAAAAAATATCATTTTTCCAAAAATGGAGGAAAACTAACGATTTATGGGTATTGCGAACACCCGAACTGCAAAACGTTTATTCTAAAATGCAATTTCTCTGATTGTGACATTAGCGGATACAAAGTAAAAGTGTATAGTTCTTCGCGTAATTTTGTACATTCCCAGTTGCTTACTCGACAAGTCCGCGGAATAGAGAGAGACTTGATCGGGAATAAATTTATTGATAAGTGCCCTTTAGTCACGCAAACTATTGCGTATAACCACTCAAATGAAAATTTGATTCAAAACAGCTGTAATCAAAAAATTAAATCCCATCACGTCTTCAAGAAAATTAGAGCAGACGCAAAATCGAAATTAGATCGTCATAATGATGATATCATGGATTTGATATTAATGCAGCGAGAAAATTCAAATTACATTCAACAAGTGGGACAACCCTTGCATATGCACATTCACAGTAAAGAGCAAATGGACATAATCAAACAGCAAATGTATAAGACCGAAAATAAGAAAATAACAGTTCATTTAGATGCCACAGGAAGTGTCGTGCGACAGCCGCCAAATACAACAGATAAAAGGATACTTTTATATTCCATGGTTTTACAGATCAGGCAACATGGAAATTCTACCGTTTGTAGTATATCGGACTTTATTTCCGCGAAACATGACAACGTTAGTATATCCGCCTGGTTAAATAATTTCAAAACCTACTGGGAATCGTATAGTACTATGTGGCCAATCTTTGATCGCGTTGTGATGGACTTTAGCTTTGCGGAAATCAAAGCAGTTTGCGCCTCGTTTAATAATGTGTCTGTTACCGATTATTTGAATATTTGTTATGAAATATTATTTTTGGGTGCGACACACAACAACATAACTCACCTCTCTTTATGTTGCGCCTACCTAATGAAGATTTTTTCAAACATTATAAATAAGTATTTTGAGGAAAAACGCGTGAAAAACATATTAAAAGAGAGTTTCGCTTCTGTCTTCAACATGCGGAATATAAGTGATTTTGAAAGGTGGTACAAAAATGTTCTAGTATTAACCAACAGAAAGTATACAAGCCTATCGGTAGATCACGCTGAAGACGAAATTTTTAAGATGACAAATTCAGCTAAGTCCGATTTAGTCGTAGAAAGTGATAGAAAGTTATTTTGGTATCCTGAAAAATAATATTTTGCATGACAATTTAAGATTAAAATGTTCTCGGTTCATACTCACATACAGGAAGTACACCTTGTGTGTATACAAATCAATCAAATTTAATATAAATAGAAACTCGTGCGCTAGAATTAAGTGCCCTCGGGAATCGTCCGAAGAGACCTGGTCAAAAAAAAGGAAATCAAGACATTCGTATTATAAAGCATTATATTCAAAAAAAGCTCTGTCCCAAAGTCAGTCTAGTAAGAACTCAACCACTCCGTACATAAAACACTTGTTTTTAGCGAACGGATTGATAAATAATCCCGAATATTATGGTCAGACCAAGAGCGAAAGTTATGTGGTAGGGCGATACAACTCTGTTAATTCACAGACAGATGACAATTTTAACCTATTATACAATGACTCTTTTACAACTTTAAATGATGTTGACGTAGTGGAAACAAATTCCTGGTTAGATAACTTTGTAATGGAGTTCGCATTGAAGATTTTCATAAAAAACAGCAACCGAGCTGATGTTAAACTTATTGAGTCTGCTTTCAGTATAGAAATGTTCAAGAATAAACATTACGTAAATCCCAATTTTCCTTCTCTGAAAGGTTTTAACCAAATTTTAATACCGTATAATCAAAACGGGAACCACTGGGTGTTAATTCATGTACATTTTAAGAACCGGACATTTGAATACATTGATCCCGCCGGAGGTAGATGCGATAAAAGTATATTCAACAAACTTTGCAAGTTTCTGGAAAAATATAATTCTAAATTTCCTCTTCATAAGGTTCCCATAGATCTTAAAATATTAGATTGTGAATCAGTTCCAAGACAAACAGATAGCTATAACTGCGGAGTTTTCGTAATCTACTTTGCAGATTGCTTAATAAATTCTCAACCATTTAACTTGACCTTCGATCCTAAGAATTACCGCGTTTTTGTAAAACAGCAAATCGTCGTTGGTTGTCAGAGCGGTCCGTGGGACCTTAGCTCTTGAGTCACAGTGTCAGTTTGTAAGTCTGTCAGGTCTGGTAACCCAGAAACCAGACAATTTTAAGGAAAAAAGGGGAAGGAAAAGAGAAGGAAGAACGAGAGCAAAGGGGAAGAAGAGAATCTTTTAGGATAGGCAGCGTTTAGGCATTGTTAAAATCTTGTAAAACAGCTTATGTTAGTTGCGTCGGATAACATGTAAGACAGGTGTCTGTATTGTGGTAGCGACGATGCTACCAGTCAAATGCTATATTGCGAAATTTGTCAACGATTCCTGCACGTAAAATGTATCGCTCATCGAAAACCATCCTTTGCGTGTCCTTCCGATAACGAGTATTATGTATGTAACGTTTGCGAAGAGTACGCAAAATTTGTCAATCGAAAGTAATGTAATAAATAAAAACACAGAAGTGTAGGAAATAATGTCGTGTGCGTCCAGGAGGTCAGGGTATGGCTAAATGGGGATATGGAGGAGGCCATCTTATTGCAGTTAACTTGTACGACATATTGTCATTTACACTTTTAATCATGATTAACATCACTCTACTCATAATCTTGTCAACTTATATTAATCGCTGCTTTTGAACAGAAATGGTCGGCTTTTCTGTTATGTTAGTACCTGTGTCGTATGCGTCCAGGAGATCAGGGTATGGCTAAGTGGGAATATGGAGGAGGCCATTTTATTCCGGTTAACATGTACGTCGTATTGTTAGTTAATCTTTTAATAATTTTACCTCAGAACAATACTATTCAAGTCATAATCATGTCACTTTGAAACAATAGTCAAGAGAAAACGTTACGGTGCTTGCTTACAATTCCAAGACAAATATATACATTTTTAAGAACAAACTTTTATTTATCTGTTAATAAAATCAACGAAACATTTAAAAATATTTTTTTAGATTGTAAATATTTAAACGATAATGAAAGTCCTTCACCTCTAGTCTATAAAAGCATGTTACACACTTCATCCATCCTGCTGTCAAAACGTAACACGCTTTTATTTGAAAGTCTGAGATAAACGAGCAAAATCGTATTGGCTACATTTAGCTACATTTTGAATAAGAATTTCGTTGAAAAATGGAGTACTGTTACTCTCTTCTTGTTTTCTGGAGGCCACATTTCCCATAATGTTGAAGATAACGGCAAGCATTTTAATAAGTTGACTGGACTTGAATGGTTCTCGAACGCAGCTGAGGAGCGAGGGGTGTAGCCCCTTAACGCCTCCTAGATCAGCCACTGCCGTAAGGTGGTGGAGGAAACTTGTCAGAGTGATAAATTCATTTTCTATAAGTTCTGTTTGCAGGCAGCAGTCCACAACCAGCTAGGGAGATATAAACGTTCAGATTTTTGGAATTGCATATCAACGTTATTTACCGCTGCAGCTTCAACAGGATTTGATAGCATTCATTTGGAATATACAGAAAATATATGTATACATATATATATATATATATATTTGGGTCCCATTCATGGCCACGAGATGTAATCGATCCCGGATATGAAAGATGCATTGTAGCATTGATTTTCGTAAAAAAAAAGTGGTGTTGATTTGAAGAAAAATTGAGTATTTTAATTTTCAAATTTCCATGTGCGTTTCGTATAGGTAACTTTCGCTCCCTCTGGTAGGCTTAATATGCCCTTGCCACGAGATGTAATAGATCCCGGATATGAAGGATACATTGTAGCATTGATTTTCGTGAAAAAAACGTGGTATTGATTTGAAGAAAAATTGAGAATTTTAATTTTCAAATTTCCATGTGCGTTTCGTATAGGTAACTTTGGCTCGCTCTGGTAGGCTTAATATGCCCCGGCCACGAGATGAAATCGATCCCGGATATGAAGGATGCATTGTAGGACTGATTTTCGTGAAAAAAAAGTGGTGTTGACTTGAAGAAAAATTGAAAATTTCAATTTTCAAATTTCCATGTGCGTTTCGTATAGGTAACTTTCGCTCGCTCTGGTAGGCTTAATATGCCCCGGCCACGAGATGTAATCGATCCCGGATATGAAGGATGCATTGTAGCATTGATTTTCGTGAAGAAAACGTGGTATTGATTTGAAGAAAAATTGAGTATTTTAATTTTCAAATTTCCATGTGCGTTTCGTATAGGTAACTTTCGCTCCCTCTGGTAGGCTTAATTTGCTCTGGCCACGGAATGTGATCGATTTATTTTCGGCAAAGTAACCACTCTATTTTCATGCATACTGGTCAGCATCACAACATCCCGCCGATCTTTCCATTTTATTGCCAATAAGTTTTCACTACTTCTCCAGTCAGTATCTCCTTGTTTTAATTTTTTATCAAATACTGGCATGTTTCCTATTTTGCCTTACAGTTCCACAGGAGTTTGTTTTATGTTGTAACAAAAAAGTTGAAAGTGTAGGGCTGGTGTAAAAATTATCCGTATAAAGAGAATGTCCCTTGTTGAGGTATGGCTCTAAAAGTTTTGCAACAACGGCCCCTGTAGTACCAAGATTATTCTTGTCTTCTGCTTTTATATTAGTGTCTTTTCCACAATATATTATAAAGTCTAAGACAATTC